GAGTAGGAGTCTCACTCTGTTGCCCAGACTGGAGTGCAGTGGCCGCTCCCGGCCACCGCAGCCTCGCCTACTGGGCTCCGGTGATCCTTCCGCCTCAGCCTTCCAAGTAGCTGGGACTACAGGCATGCGCTACCACGCCCGGCTGATTTTTTGATTTATTGTAGAGATGAGGTCTCGCTGCCCAGGCGGGTCTCGAACCCGGGGGGTCAGGCAATCCACTCACCTCAGCCTCCCAAAGGCACGGGATTACAGGATGAGCCACCGAGCCCGGCTAAATTCTGTCTTTTAAAGTTATCTGAAAATGTCTTCCTTTGTCTTCAATTTTGAAAAGATACTTTTTCTTGATACAAAATTCTTGCTGTATGTCCATCTAGTGAATTTTTCTTTTTAGTTTTTGTACTTCTTAAGTCTTAAATTTACAGTTTTGAAATTTCATTTCTCTGTAGAGGTTTCTTCTGGGAACATATTTGTAATAGCTGCCTTAAGTTTAACTACTTAATCCAATAACATCTGGCCCTATTCAGAGTGAATTTCTATTGACTGCTCTTCTTTCCTAAGTTTGAGTCACACTGTCCTGCTTCTTTGCATGTCTAGTAATTTTTGATTTAAAATGAACATTGTAGATAATACATTCTAGTGGTTATAGATTCTGTTATGTTCTTCTGAGGATTGTTGATATTTTGTTCTAGTAGGCAGTGAACTGCAAATTTGTTTTCTTTTGTGGTATGCAACAGCTGGTATTTCTGCTCAGTTCTTAGTTTCTAGTCGCTGTTATTTGAAGCACCCCCCCCCCCACCAGAGGTTGTATAGTTTGGTGTTTAACCTTGGCTCCTCTGTCAGCCTCAGCCTCTGACCTCTGACATCTCGGGGCAGTTAGGCTTCAGCTTTCTGCCAGCTGAGCTGCACACAGATTGAGGAACACAACCTATTTAGGAAATAGTAACTTAACAAATCTTCGCACAATATCTTCTTTCAAGGATAGGATATATAACTCTCTAGTTCCTGCCTTTTTATTTTATTTCCATACATGGATAGTTATGTGGTCAGCTAGAGGTCTGGGCATAGATTATACTCAGATTTTGGGTTACATCCTATATTAGCGGTTCTCTAGAGAAACAGAACCAACAGATTGTGTTTACATTGTATGTGTGTATCTGTATGTTTGTGGAGGGGGAGGAAGGGTGTTGTTTAAAGGAATTGGCTCACATGATTGTGAAGGCTTGGCAATTCAAAATCTGCAGGGTGAATCAGTAAACTGGAGACCCAAGGAAGTATTATAATTTGAGTCCAAAGATAGTCTACTGGCAGAATTGCCTGTATTGTCAAGGAGGTCAGTCTTTTTCTATTAAGGCCTTCAGCTGATTGAATGAGGCCTATCCACAATATAAAGGGCAATCTGCTTTACACAAAATATACTAATTTAAATATTAATCTCATGTAAAAACACTTTTATGGAAACATCTAGAATTATGCTTGACCAAATAGCTAGGTACTGTGGCCTAGATAAGTTGATACATAGAAATTAACCATAGCAAGTTCACCCCTTGTCAATTTGGCATCCATATACATTTTAAATCAAGATTATACCTAACATGATACAACTATCCTGTGTACAACCAAAAATGCACTAATCCTTTCCTCAGAAGAGAATACTAAGTCCTTGTGTGATGTTTACTCTTTTCCTTGATATTCTGGAACTTAAATGCTATGATATAAAATTAAGAATACTTAAATAATATGATATGAAGTTAATCAATCTCATGTTACATGATAAGGAGATAAGAGAGGGAAAACACAGATATATACATACACACACACACACCTGCACACACAAACATATTCATAAAAAAATAAGAAAGACTTATGACAGTTACAGTTCTCATTTTTTTTTTTTTTGAGTTGGAGTCTCACTCTGTCTCCTAGACTGGAGTGCAGTGGCTGCTCCCAGCCACCGCAGCCTCGACCTGCTGGGCTCCTGTGATCCTTCTGCCTCAGCCTTCCAAGTAGCTGGAGCTACAGGCGCGCGCTACCACGCCTGGCTAATTTTTTTGATTTATTGTAGAGATGAGGTCTCGCCAAGTTGCCCAGGCGGGTCTTGAACCCGCGGGCTCAGGCAACACCTCGGCCTCCCAAAGCGTGGGATTACAGGCTGAGCCACGGAGCCCAGCCAGCCCTCATTTTTATAACTGATCACATGGTTATAGTTGATAGCTGATGTTTATAATTACCTTCATTCCTGAAGGATCTGGGCCACCAGCAGTCCTGTCTGAATTGATTGCTATAGTTTTCCGTGGACTTAATCACAGGGCATGGTAATACTAAGAGATGAGCTAAGGGAACACCTGTTTACGAAAATTCTCTTCCTTACTGTCATTGTGAGGTAGCAGTCCAATTTCACCTTGCATAGTAACTCTCTTCTTTACCTGTCAGTTCAGAGGCACAAGGAGCCCAAAGTGACTGGGTAGCAGTCTCAACTTCCAGTTTAATGGAATCATCGTTGTGTTTCCTAGTGAAACAAAGACCTCTAGACCAGCAGGGTGTGAAATTATAGGCACAGGAAATAAAGATTTTGCTAGTGGGCCACTAGGGGGAATAGTAAATGGTGCCACTCTCATTTCTATTCCTTGATTCCAGGAGCCACAAACCTGGCTACAGGAGAAACAGCACCACATATATTGAACTGATTCAGAGCACATGCAGCTTCCTGGAGAACCTTGCCCCAGCCCTACAAGCTGTTGCCACCTAGCTGGTTCTGTAACTGAGTCTTCAAAAGGATTTTCTATCTAGCTAGCTGATTCAAGATGGTGGGGAACATGGTACAACTCCATGAACAGGAGCCCATTGCCACAATCTGTTTGCTGTGAAGTGAGTTCTTTGGTCAGAAGCAGTGTTGTGTGGGATGCCATAACAGCAAATCATCCCACGGCAGATCATCCTTTCTGAGCTTCTCTTGCCTTAAGGATTTCCCCCTTAGTTTCTAACTGTTTAGGTAGGTTGCAGTTTTCTGCTGCTATGGAGATTCAGGAGTTTCCTCAGGCAAGATAGCCATAAACTCACAATACCTCCCTCTACATGTTGCATACTTTTAAGGATTATATTTTCATCAGCTTTTGTCTGCTTTTTCAAAAAAGTACTTTCTCTGGACTTTAAAATGGTTTTCAGTGGAAGGTTGTATGAGCAACTTTCTTGGTTACTATTACTGTAATTTTTCTCTCTTATATTATTATTATTTGTAATCCATAGAATATTTTGTAGTAAGGGAACTGAGAAAAGACAGGGCAAATGGTTAGCAAAAGTGATGTTACTTTGATAAGCAGAACAACTTTCCTGGGGCCTCTGCCACAACAGAATTAACTACATTATATTCTGACTGTAGTTCCTCTTGTAGAAAAATTTATATAACTTTTAGCATAACTTCCTAAAGCTGTACTTGCTTTTATCATTAGGAACTGAACGACCTTCACATAGAAGCACTTTCAGTGATAGCGAATTGTCTTGAAGATAAGGATACTATGGTACTGATTCAGCAGACGGGGGTTCTTAAAAAGCTCCTATCATTTGCAGAAAACTCCACAATTCCTGATATTCAGAAGAATGCAGCAAAAGCAATTACTAAAGCAGCTTATGATTGTATGTATCATTTTATATAAACTAAGCATACATATTTCCTCTTGTATTCTTAATTTTGATTTGTAATAACAAGCACTAGAGTATTTGTCTGTTTTTAACTTACCTTTTGAGAGTAGTGCTGTACTTACTACTTAAGGCCAAATGTATCTCACTTCCAATTCGTTGGAGTAGAGATTGCTTTGTCAAGGATACATTAAACTCAATATGATTTAATTATAATCCTATTTTTCAAAACCCAAACAATTCATTAAGTTAAGTTGTAAGCCTTTATTTCGCTTGACTTTGGAATTATATAGAGTGTATGCATTGTTTGTGAACTTGAAAGCGTTGTTTCAAGAAATCCATATTCAGAATATCTATAAAGTAATTTTCAAGTTTCAGCTGGAGTCTAGTTGGACCATGTTATATAGCTGTGAAAAGTAATATGCTCCTACTATACACATAATATAATTTTCATTTCAGTGACAAGTGATGTTGGCATAAATCTGTAAGATGGAGAGATTAATTATATCACAAGCACTGAAGATGAAATTATAGTTTTAATTTATGTATATTTGGAGTCTTTTATTTAATAAAAGATGTGATTTTATTTTTCCCCTTCCACATCACTACTCTTATAAGTGATGACAGCATTGACTATTTTAAGTGATTGGTATTCTAAACATGTATGCTCAGATCTATATATATATATATCTGCGTGTATATTATGTGGAAACACTTCCTTTTCAGTTCATACTGGATTTCTTCAAGGCAAAGCTTTAATATAGTAAGCAGAATTTTATTGTCCAATATGTAGTGTACGCAGAGGGGCCTTATGAGTTACATTATAAATACCTAATCTAAAGACAGGCTGTAAAATTAGGGTTTTAATATTGGCAAAAGTTGGTTTTTTAATATTCTGTCAAATGGAACTTAGATGCTATCATAGCTGGTTAGATCTGTTTTCCTTCTAGTCCAGGCCATTTTGGTTAAGCCACAAAGGGAGGAGTAATGAAAGACATGGACACTGTCAAACCTAACATTTTTGCATCTCTCAGCTTTTCTTTGGAGAATATGTGCATTAGTGTGGCTGGCTCATTCTCAGTTTGTCCCAACCCACCTTAGGGTGGGAAGTCTCATGGTGCCTACCCACCATGTACTAGAAAGAGCACTAGACAGAGCTCCTGGTTTCCAGTTTAGTAACAGTTCCACTGTGGGCACTACAGTGACCTAGTTATATACTATGAGTGAACTCAAGCCTCTCCAGAGCTATTGATTAATTCACTTAATAATGAGTTATTGAGCCCCTCCCCCTTTGAACAGGTGAGCAAACAATCATGATGCGGTGTTTAAAGTGATTGAATGGAAGTACAGTATCACCCAAAAGGCCACCCAATGCAGAAAATCTGGATGAGAGAAATCTTCCTAGAATAGGTGGTTTACAAACTGGGACCTAGAGTAAAGACCAGAAATTGGCTGGATGAAGAGGGCCCAGGTAGGATCAGAGATCAGCAGTTAGAACAGTTTGTTTAAAAGGCCAGAGAAGGGACAGAGCATATAAGCTCCACAACTGAAAGTTTTCAAAATGGCTAGTGAATAGAATGCAACAGAAAACGGAGAGTTCAGGCTATAGATGACACAAGGAGCCAAATGCTAATAATGGGCATCATAAGACCAGTTAAGGAATTTGAACTTAATTTTGACAGTGACAAAGAGTCATTGAAGTGACTCAGAGATGGGAGGGAACATTACAGATTTTTATGTATTAAACAACAGGCCAGGCATGGTGGCTCATGCCTGTGATCCCAGCACTTTGGGAGAATTGCTTGAGCCTAGGCGTTTGAGAACAGTTTGGGCAACATAGCAAGACCTCATCTCTCAAAAAAGAAAATTAGCTGAGCATGGTGCTGTGCACCTGTTGTCCCAGCTACTTGGGAGGATGAGGCAGAAGGAGGTAGAGGATGCTGTGAGCCATGATTGTGTCATTGCACTCCAGCCTGGGCCACAGAGTGAGACCCTGACTCAAATAAATAAATAAATAAGTAAAATAAACATCCTTGCTGCAAAGTGGAGAAGCAATTGGAAGCATGTAGGACCAGACACAGAAGACCAGGAATGGGGTTACTGTGATAGTCTAGGAGATGGACAGGTGTCCTGAAAGAGATGTGGTAGGTGGGATGAGCTCAAGGCATTTTGCAAGAAGAATCGCCAGCACAGTGCTTGGCACATTGTAAGGAGTCTGTTCAGTCTGTATTTGTTGAATGACTATGTGAGTTGAGGGAGGAAGAAGGTGATGTCAAGGATTAGGCCAGGTTTCTGCTCTGGACACCTAGGAGTAAAAGGGTGCCACTCACAGAAATGGGGAACTCAGGAAGAGGAGCAGCTCTGATTGAAGAAAAGGAAATTAGTTCCATTCCTTTTTTTAATTTTTGGTGAAATACACAAAATAGAAAATTTACTGTCTTAACCATTTTTTAAAATGTTTTTTGAGTCAGTCTCACTCTGTCGTCCAGGCTGGAGTGCAGTGGCACGATCACAGCCACCGCAGTCTCAATTTGCTGAGCTCAGGCGATCCTCCCACTTCTGCCTTTCAAGTAGCTGGAACTACAGGCGTGCGCCACCATGTCTGGCTAATTTTTAAAAAATTTATGTAGAGATGAGGTCTCGCCATTTTACCCAGGCTGGTCTTGAACCCCTGGACTTGGCAATCCTCTCCCCTAAGCCTCCCAAAGTGCTGGGATTAAAGGCGTGAGTCACCATGCCCAGCTTACCATTTTTAAGTGTACAGTTCAAGTGGCATTAAGTATATTGACATTTTTGTGCTACTATCCATTCACAGCTTTTCATCTAGCAATTCTAAACCTTTACACCCATTAAACAAGAATTCCCACTTATTCTTCTCACAGCTCCTGGCAACCACCATTCTACTTTCTGTCTCTGAATTTGATTATTCTAGATGCCGCATATACATAGACATATGGTGTTTGTCCTTTTGTGACTAGGAATTAGCAATATGGCAGTTCCTCAAAAAAGCAAAAATAGAATTACCATGTGATTTAGCAATTTCACTTCTAGGTATATGCCCCCCCAAAATTTAAAGCAGTGATCCAAAGAGATATTTGTACACCCATGTCCATAGAAGTATTATTCACAATAGCCAATAGGCAGAAGCAACCCAACTGTCCATCAATGGCTGAATAGATCAACAAAATGTGGTATAGCCGTAAATGGACTATTATTCAGCCTTAAAAAGGAAGAACATTTTGACACATGTGACAACATGAATGAACCATGAGGACATCATGCTAATTCCTAGTCACAAAAGGACAAACACTGTATGATTCCATGCATTTGAAGTATCTAGTATCATTTGTTGAAATCCATTCTATTTGTAACAAAAAGGAATTCAAGCAGATTTTAAATCCTTTCTAGCACTTAATATTTTCTGATTCTATTGCTTATGTTCTAAAATAACTATATTTCTAATTTTCAGTCATGTCTCCCCAATCTTTATTTTAGAATCTAAAGGTTAAATCTGTGTTTACTTCATCTATGTCATTTGCAGTTGTATCATGTTCCCTTCAACTATCACTTCTCCAGACTGAAGAATCCTTGTTTAGACTCTCCCTACACATCATACCCTCAGACTATTCAGTGATCATTCTCTTACCTCTTTGAGACTTCCTCTTATTTATGATACCCTCCTTGAAGTGTGTTGGTAAGTATTATGAACAGTATTTTAAAAATCTGCACCATCAGGGCTGGGTGCAGTGGCTCATGCCTATTATCCCAGCACTTTGGGAGGCTGAAGTGAGAGGATAGCATGAGCCCACAGGGTCAGGACCAGCCTGGACAATTTGGCAAGACCTTGTCTCTACAATAAATTAAAAAAAAATTATCATACATGGTCTTGGCAGAAAAAGTTCTGAAAACTTCAGATGATTTAAAAGGAGATGAATGAAGGAACTACTTACAGAAGTATAATTAGTATTAAGGGAACTAACAAGGGACAAAAAAATCCCTACAGATCACCAATCTTGGGAAACCTTCATTACCACTAGGTCCAAAGCAAAGCAAAGAATATTGTTATTTTTACAGGTACTGTATTTGGTTTGACATCATGTTTTATGCTTTCTGCTTTTTATTTTTTTATACTATTTTCTTTATATAGTTTTAAAACCTTTAAAAATAGTTTTTTAAAGATACAGTTATTATACTTAAGATATTTAGCAATTTTGCTTTCACAATTCTTTCCCTTTTTGACGTTTATAAATTTAATAAGAGGTTATATATTTCTCCTCTCTAAAATCTATAAACCTCTTTTTTTAAGAATCATTTTGTTATTACATTCAATTTTATCCATATTTACCATTTAGAGTTATATACATACTGAATCTGTTTCAGTGTACATTGTCAGCTTCTCATAATAAAAGCTTATCCAGTCTTAAGATTTTATTTTTGATTTGTTTCTCAGATTAACCAGAGTATTTTTGTTTTAATTAAAAAAAAAAAAAAACTCTTTTCAGGAATAACCAACAGTGGTATGTTTTAGAGACTTTACCTTACTGTGAATATGTTTGTTGTCTTCAAATATGTATGACAATTTAACTGGATTTGGAATTCTTATGCCATAATATTTTCCCCTTGAATATCTATGAACTTTGCTTTTGTAGAGTCCAACTCTGAGGCCAATCTGATTTTCATTATTTTTTATTCTACTTTTGATTATTGTTTTTGTTTCATTTAATCTTTTTCCCCCAGGAATATTTATTATTTTTAGACATCTCTGTTCTTTCTTGTATACCTATTACGCAATCTTTCATAATTCCAATGTTTAATGTGCATATCATGGAATGCAGAGGGCTCTTCCTAGGCCTGGTTTTAATGAACCAACAAAGCCTGCAGGGTTCCCTTTGCCAGTTTTCCCCATCAATTGCGATGGCAATGGAATCCTTCAGCTTAGTTTTGGTTGATGAGGAGACTTTTCTCTAATGTGGCTTGGCATCACCAAAGTTCTATAT